CACAACAGCTGGACCGCCAAATACACGGGCATACGAACTCCTGTCAGATCTATCTGCAGCAAACACCTATTTGTTTGTGAGATCTACTTGGAGCGTTCACTGAACGACACATGCCGAGTCACTACGACACATGCCAGCGAACGGACAAAAGGCGACGACGGGAGTCGGTCCCGACGTATCGTCGGTCTCTTTGGATCTTTCTGCCTGCCCTAGGTCATAAAGACCTGTCATCGCTACTATGTTGGAGGCCATCGCTAGTAGGTTGGAGGCCATCGCTAGTAGGTTCAGCTTGACAGAAAAGCTCAGGTGGTCGACTTGTAGGTTTGTGCTGAGTGGCTGCAAGACCATGATGACAAAATCCAGCATCGGGAATTGTGGTTGACCTGGCACCGGAGCCACCGCTGGCTGTGGCAATTTGTGGCGCTTTGGCAGTTCCGAATTTCTCGGTCTTCATTCCCTCACGCTCAGAGTCTCAAGACCATTATATAGCTACATGAAGATTGTCGTCCAAATAGTCAAACAGCAATTCTCGAGCCCAAAAAATTCACTACAAGTATGCGAAGAAGTTGCTTTCGGATCATTTTTCAAGTTGTTTAATAGAAGAAGAATCGATTTGAACTGCAGTTCTGATAATGATTCTGTGATGGAAAGTTCCATCAGCGAAACACCTAAGACTAAACAAGAACGGACTGGGAAACAGCAAATGCCTACAGCGACAACGCAACATATGTTTTATATACTATATCCGCCGACCCCGCCGTAGCAAGGGGGAGCGCGCCAGAGATTACGGGTAGCTGTTTGGGGTTTGGGGGACCTCTGGCGACAGTTCGGTTCCGGAAGCGAGACAAATGGAAACAAACTTCTTTTTTGTAGGGATTCAGAGGCGGCGTTTGGCATCGAAAGTGCAACCAGAGGAGGCTCGTTTTGGACCAGAATTAGATTGGGGAAAGCCGTGGCGGGGTCAGGTGTTCGGGGAGCTAGAAGCGGCGTTTGGTAGCGAGAGTACGAAAGCCGTGGCGGGGTCAAGTGTTCGGGGATCTAGAAGCGGCGTTTGGTAGCGAGAGTACGATCTAGATGAGGGTTGATGCTGGCGTGACCAGGTGTTCGTGGCGGGCCAGGTGTTCGGAGCCAGG